AAGAAAACATCCAACATGGTTCTTTACCTGAGGACCAGAGTGGGCCTTCTAGGCAGCTAAATGAACAGACAAAGCTAGAGCATAAAAATAATGAATTGGCAGGATTTTGCCCCTTTCATATAACATGTCAATCCACAATTTCTGGCAGGGAAAGGATGATTGTTATGTTAAACCCCATTGTGTATTGAAGAATAATTTATTTCTCTTCCATGGTGGTGCCAATTGCTAAGGTTAAAGAGGGACATGATAATTCCTGGGCCTTTGACATAGAAAGAAGTTTTTCCCTGAAGGAAAAAGCACAAGGCTTGCAGAGATGACAATAACATCCACTGTGCATTCTGCTGCACCAAAATCAGCAGGGACTTCTAGACTTAGAAAATGCATAAAGTTTTGAGGGAGCTTTTATTTATTTATTATTTTAGTTCTGTTGGCGGACTTACAGCTAAGAAGAAGAGTTTTTTAAAGTCAGTAAAATGCATCTGTCTCAGCAGAGCATGAGTGTCAAACTGTACAAATGTAATTGTTCCGTGAGATGTGAGGGCTCATTTAGGCACTCAGAATGGGAGTACATTAAAACATGAAAGTTACTGAAAGAGAGACTGACTTGACTGTTCTTTGAGCTACTTTTCTGTGAATGTGTGGCAGTGATTTATTATTTATGACAACGCTGTATCGATAACTTTAAAATATGAAATCTAGGGACAGATCCACAGCTGCTGTAGGACACTGGAGTAGGAGGCTAAGGCACCTCACATCATTGAGCGTCTAGCCTGAGAACTTCCTAATTTAGGGAGGCTAGAGGCATACAAAATACAAGACATTTGTAACTGGATGAAGAGCATCATCTGTAGATGGTTTTCTTTCTGAGAAACCCCCTGGGGCATATGTGAGAAAGCTTTTCCATCTTGTATTGCCTGCCGCCACCCCCCAGCATTCAAAGAGGAGGCAGGAGTGTGGTCCAGGTCGCCCCTCTGAGCTAGGACTGGCCACTCGCTCAAGCCAGGCAAGCCTCAGTATTGCAAGGAGAGCAGTTGCATTGCCAGGGCCTTTCTCAAGCCACCATTCTCTCAGACCATATGCTGAAAGGAAGATGGCTCGTGAAGGGATTTTAATGAACTAAACAATCCCTTCACGTATGATCTCTGTAGCGGTGGAGTGGCTGACGTCTTCTGACTCTTTACACTCCGTGCCTCCATCCTGCTCTGCTTCTCCCCCTTCCTAAGAAAGCAAAGTTGCATGAATTCTTTAGCACTGCTTTGTTGTGCTGAATAGGGAACCTTAAACAAAATCTTTATGGATTTGTTAAAAAACAACAGACAACCTCTTAGAAGTATTGGAACTTAATTATGTTAATATTGAACATAATTATGGCACATTAATTATGTTTTCTGCATTTATGAAGGGAGTTGTGCAGTGCTCTCCAGACATCTGTACTATATAGAGACAGGTGGTAGAGTGCAACGTTTCCAAGTGCCAGATCGGCACCGTTTTCCCATTCCATATATGGCTGCTCTTTCTCTCCAATTGCAGATACTCATTCAGCTTAGTCAAATTGAGTCCTTATTTGAGAGATTCTGCGCTGAAAGGCAAATGCATCTATCTTTGTAAGCCTGTTTGTTTCCATAATTAGAAACCGAATCAACAGTGTATTGAAGATGACACATTTGCTCATTCCCTTTCTTCTCCCTATGGTGGCATAAAGCAGTGAAGCACAATAATTAATGAAAAAGACTGTTTATTATTCAGGCAATGTATCTGAAGTGGAAAAAACCAGAGCGTGGGTTAAAATATATTGCTGAAGACCATCAGTGCCATCACATTGTGTACGATCAGTTCCAGGAGGAGAGTCCCATCATTCAGTCCAGTTGGGCAGTGTGCTCTAGAACTGTCAAAGACAATTGAACTCAGATTTCTCATGTAAAACTCAGGAAAACATGGAATGCATGACAAAACCTGACTTAAGTATCTTACTAGGGTGTCTTGAGTGTTCTTCCCAAATTAGTGACTTTTTAAGCTTCATTTACATGTCTGCTGTGTCCTGTGGTTGAGTGACTATAATACATACTTTTAGTAGACTTCTCTTTTCTTCTGAGGGAGCCTGCCTGATCAATTTTGTGAGAAAAAGGGTGCACTTAATGCTCTGCTCAGCACTCTGCCTTTGCAAAGCAAAGCTAATCTGTTTTAAATAACAAAGGCCAGAATATGCCTGACTGCAAAATATTGCTTTGTCTCCTGTGGACATGTTACAGAGTAAGTCAGTGCTTCTGGGCCCGTACTGAAGATCAGGTAAAATGCAGCACTTTCCTCTTCCTCCTGAGACTGAAACTGAAGTCCAGGGAGACTCTCTGAAGCCATTCTCTTCATTTGCAAAAAGCTGCAGTGTAACCAGAAAATAAGTAAATGTCACAGCTATAATGTGCAGCTGAAGTCATGCTGCTGGCAAGCCACGGCTTGGATTCTGTTCCATTTGCACCTATTTCCATACTACACCTAGCTATGAAAAGGATTTTGTGTTTGCTCAAGCTTATAAAGTCAGTCCACATTGGGAAGAGTATATGACAGGAGTAAGAATAGCCCACTTGCTAAATACGAAGGTGATTAAGAGAACAATGACTCTATCAAGGGTACTGATTTTTCAAGTCCTTGATTAGAGCTCTTTTTCCTTTTATATATTTTATACTTGGTGATGATGCTGCATTGTTGTAGCAAATAAAGCTTCCTGGTCTTGCAAAGCTATGAGCAGCCACTTGCACCAAGAACAAAGCTTTGATCTTCATGCTTTGAAGTTCACCCTCCACAGTGTTACAGTTTGGGAATAGGGAATTGTTTTCCAGTATTTTGAGGTGGGCGTAATTTCAGTAACATAAATGTCTTCTTTTGAATTTAAAGTGCTGTTAGCTAGTGGTTGGTTTGATAGTTCTGTGCTCCCTACAAATCTCTGACTGTTAGGGGATGAACAATAAGAACATGTGGCTTTTCACAAGCATGATAGAAAACCTGAATATGATTTTTTTTACTTTATAGAGGGAAAAAACATGTATTGATCAGTAGGCAGCAAATGTAAGTGCCTCATTGTTTATTGAAAGTGGCGCAGTTACAGATAAACAATTTGAATAGATAATGGCAGTGTAATGTGAAAAATCCTAGGAATGTATCGAGTCCATTCTTGTATCTACACTTTAAGTACTTTGATGGACATGGTAATCATATTATTTCTTTTTAATTCTTGTTCTTTATTAAAAACTCTTAAGTATCAGCACTTTTCTTTGATACTCTCTCACTTCCGTGCAGAGAGTTCATTTACACAAAGGTAAGTGTCACACACAGCCCTGCAATGCCAGTGGAACCAGCTGCAAGAGCATCATGGTATTACAAAGAGGGATGAACTTAAGGAGTCTTTGTACTTGACTATCTTGTCCTTTCCTCCATATCCTCAGAGAAATAGGTCCACTAAGATCGTAAGTGTTGTAACAGTCTTAAGGTTAGAGGACCCCTTATGAAACAGCTCTGTTCCCCTTTGTCAGCCTAAGAGAGGACACACCCACCTCCTTTCCGAGGATGGACATTTAATGTGGCTGATAAAGTGTGCTTGCTTTTACTTTTCTGTTGCATTAACCATTCTAGTGCACGTGCTGTCCAGTTCTGTTTGAGGTGCCCAGTTCCCAGAGTGGTTGGCTTATCATGTTGAGAAGCTGCCTGCACTCAGTGCAGAGATGTCCCTCTGGCACATAGCTAGGAGCAGATTGCACCACTAATGCCAGCAAAACAACAGAAGAGAAAGTCTCATTGGTTAGGATTAAAAGAAAAGCAATTGGGAAGCAATTTGGGCCAGACAACGTGACAGAAGTTGTTCTCCCTCCCACACTGCTGACCACTGGGCTCTGGTGTCACCCCTTGTCTGATACAGGCTCCCCTCAGCTCAGTGCCCTAGCGTGTGCTGGGTACTGCCCAAATGCAGAGAGAAAGAAAACCGCTGTTCTCTAGAGGCTGAATTCTGAATAGACTGAAAAGAAGAAACAAGTGTGGTGATCTCATTTCACAGATGCGGAAATAATTATGGTGAAGTTAAGTGGCTTGCTCAAGATTTCACAGAAAGGACCTGGCAGTGTTGAGCTTTTAATGCAGATTAGATGATATCCACTTTAGCATCGTAACCACAAGAGCATTATTCTGCATCACAGCAAAGACTTTTCTGGAGTTGTGGAGAGCTTTGGAAGAAAGGGAACTTAATAACTCCGAGGGAATTCTGAGTAATACCATGACGTAAATAGAACATAGCAATGCTAATAAGGAATAGTAGTGAACAGTGTTTTCAGTTAATAACAACAGTTAACAGCGTATTTCACCTCTACATATTATTGGATTTTCTCATGCAGTGGTTTTTAAACCAGAGATACCATAGCTGTTGATTTAAAAGTTGTCATGTTTTAATTAGGTGTTCTTCTCCTCCAGTGCTTTTACTGGTCTTTGTTCTGCTGAGAAAAGAGCAGAAGTCATGGTACTTTTTAGTAGAGATAGAAATGAGTTGTTGAAGTTCAGAAAAATAAATAGAAAAAGGATAAATAATTCATTTTATTCTTATTTTTTCTTGAAATATTGGTAAAGAAAGTTCATGGACAATACTCAGGTGTATTTTTCTGGAAATAGAAGATAGTTATCTTGTGTGTTGCTACAGTAACGTAACATGCACTTATGTAGCTATGGTACTTTATTATCGACTGCTTTATTTTGTGGCATGTTAATGTTAAACAGTGGTAGGATTCTGATGGCACTCATCTAGGCTAAATAGTTACACCTGAAATTTTTTATTACTGTATAATTTATGGTCCTTCTACTTTTTGTTTGCCTCCTTTTAGACTTGACTATTTAAGAATTCTTAGTAGTTGTATCAAAATGGAGTATTTCCATGTGTGAAGACTCCTGTTTTGCTGAAAGAACAGGTTTTTACATCTTGTCAAGCTGATACTTCTTGTTAACATCTGATTGATTCCTTTCCACAGAAGAACTTAAGGAGAAACTAAAGAAGTATGTTGATGAAGTGAATGCCCGGAAGCCTGGTTTCATCAAGGTTGTTCGACACAGCAAACAAGAGGGGCTGATTCGATCTCGAGTTAGTGGATGGAGAGTAGCCACAGCGCCAGTAGTTGCTCTCTTTGATGCCCATGTGGAATTCAATGTGGGATGGTACGTGTCTTCTTGAATATCTCTGACCAAGGGGCCTTTTCCAAGCACTGTTTATAAATTACTGAATGGCGTTTCTCTTGCATGTAGTAGGTGAGTTAGTATTGTGATCGTTTTAATGAAAGTTCAGACACCATCACGGACACAAGCAGAAAAATGTATTTCTGCTGTGTAACATAGTTTAGATTAATTTTTATAGTGTGAGTTATCTGCTGATCTAATTACAATGTATTTAAACTATATTGGAAAACTGCACGTTAAAAACCTCCTCCAATAATGTAGCCCTTTGCCTGTAGGAGCAAAATTATCTTCATTTAATTAAAAACATTATGTTTCTTATATGCTCTACAGTGTAAACAAAGTGTCACTTTGGCACTGAGGTTGCTACTCAGTGCAAAAGTAGCCTATAACTGAAACCCTGTATTTTAACTTGTTCAGTCTGGATTTAATATGTCTGGTGCTTCTTGAGTAAAAAAAGATGGTAAAAACGCAGGAGCTTCTGTCCCTAGGATAGATCTATTATTAACTCTGATCTTGATGTCCTTGATAACAATAATATTGAGAGCCTGAAGTTACTGTTATTTGGTAGCAAGGATGGAAATGCTCTATGATATGCAGATACTCATTTCTTTTATTCACCAGCTAACATCAAGGTTAAGAATAGAGCACCCTAGGTAAAATACTGCAGTGTGTTATTTTGGGGCAGATCCTGCTCTGTCAAAACTCCGTCTCAAAGCAAAGGGAGCTCTGAATGGGTAGGATCTGTAGACTTTGCCCTAGATGACCTTCAAATTTCCCTTCCATCCCAGACTGTTCTATGATTGCATGATTTCTATCAGTGCTATGCTTCTACTGATATAACCTTGACATTCCTTTTTTTCTTTGTTTTAGGGCTGAACCAGTGCTTACTAGGATAAAAGAAGACAGAAAAAGAGTAATTTCTCCATCATTTGATAATATTAAGTATGATAATTTTGAAATAGAGGAATATCCCCTCTCAGCCCAGGGGTTTGACTGGGAGCTGTGGTGCCGATATCTGAACCCTCCGAAATCATGGTGGAAACTGGAGAACACAACTGCTCCAATAAGGTAACAAGTCACTGTGACCTAGATTAGTGTGTCACTGGCAATATTCGTCTTGATATGACAGATGGTGAGTGGTCACAGATATGTAATGGGTTTTACTGACTGTAACGTTAAATGTCCTTGAGCTGTCCCCTTCAGCTTTTGTCCTTGACCTGTACAGAGTCATCGAGAAAACTGTTGTTTTTAGTAGATATTTTAAAATAGTTTTCCTTGTTATTAGCAGGGGGGGCAAAACACAATTGAAGTGAAATGGCAGACTTGAATGCTCAGCAGCACTACTTTCGCCAAACGTCTTGTCTGCTAATTCAGTGGTAATGGGACAGAAACAGGATTTTTCTTTACAATGGATGATATAAACAGAACTGATCTGACAGCTGTACCCTTTATGATGCTGTCACATAGCTTTAGAGCTGTGTTAGGTCCTGGGAGTTAATGCTGGTCCACTGATAGTGTGTGAGCAAAGACTGTATTAGTTCCTTGCTCTGGTACAATCTAGCTCTGTACTTTGTTATCATGTCTAGAGTATTGTTAGGCTGGTACAGAGCAATATCCTTATCTCCAGGAGAGGAGCAAGTGCTTCTGAATCCCCTCAGCAGCTCTGCTGAGCTCTCAGGCCTTTCTTCTGGCTATGCATTCATTCCAAGGAGGTCACTGATACCTGTACTCCAGCCATCTGCAGAAAGAAAGTGTGAAGACTGTTTTCATCAGCTGCAAAGCAGATCCTTAAATAGCAGTGGCAGAGTGAGAGGGTCATCACTACCAATCAGTTTCCATGCAGTCAATGTGAGGGGTATCCATATCCTTCATCCAGTAGTTCTGTCTTTTCAGGCAGAGAGTTTTTTTCTGGAGCTGTCAGCTTAAACACTTTGAGCTGCACTGACCCACATGCTGATCATTACAACAGGGCTCATAATTGGAAGTGGGAGATAAAAATTCACAGGTTTGCCACAGACATATGTAAAATGGGGGGGTACTTTCCACATAATTAGAAGTGGTTTTCAGTGCTAATGAACTCTGTTAACGTTATGAAAATGTCCTGGAGAGGTAGACCTTCTCTACTAATTATGGTGACTTTTAAAATTAAAAGTACTCTGAGTAAAACTCAGAGGAAAGAGCAAATCTATTACCTTTCCCTTTTACCCAGAAACTCTGTTCTATGTGAGGACCGTGGAGTGAATGTCCTTTATGAATATTGGATGTCAGGGTTGGTTCCCTAGCCCTTTCACTGGCACCTTTTATTCAGTGCAATACACTCTACGTGTGTGCTGGATAATTAAAACACACGAACGAAAAAGCCACATACATTGATTGATGGCTTCAATCATGCCTTCAGTATGCTTCTAGAATTATAGCAAAGGGAAGCAAGTGCTCCAAAAAGTACTTTAAAACAAGAACAGAAGCAAGAGTGCTTTTTCATAAAAGAAGCATAACTTTTAAAGTGACATTAACTGATTTTGCTTCAATAATAAATACATCAGAAACATTCTTTCATTGTTATAAAGTGGGTACTATAGCACTTCAAGTTAAAGGCATAGATGTATGGTTTTCTGTAGATTGTACAATTTTTTATTAAAAAATCCTGTAATCTGTTTGAAAGCAGATGTCTACACTTACTACAGCTTGAATGTTCCCAGTAAATGCAGGATGATTTCCCCTGTACTGCTAATTAATATCCTGTTGTTACCAGAGTTCATTATACCAGCATAATAATCAGAAAAGATATTTTTATTTTTTGCCATTGTGGATTATAAGGTAGGAGAAGAATGAAAAGGCCAAATTACTCTGTATTCTCCCCCACTGCGTCTCACAAAGGTAAAATTGTCCTCTCTGTGCATAAACTCTTACCTTCTTAAGATTGGCTCTGCATAATAATAGTTGGCTAATTCAGGTCATGGCATAAATAGACCTTACTGATTCGGTGAAGGTATGTGACTTGTTTAAATTTGGCTCGGGACAATGGACTACTGTCACAGTATGCTGGTAAGGCCAGGCATTTCTTGATTCTGTATTGCAAAACTTGCCCTGGAAGTTCCTATTCAAGAAATAGTATCTTCCTTTACATAAGCATATAGACACAAGTTTTCTTAGCTGTAGATGAACCCAGCTTCTGGTTAAACACACAAAACTGCATCATTTGGTATCCTTGTTAATTATCACAGACAAAAAACCTGAGGACTTTGCAGGGACAGAGACTAGAATGGCTGCTGCCTCAGAAACAAAGTTGGAGCTTCTGGATCTTGCATTGTTAGCACTGAAATCCTCCCTGTTGTGGTGAATGTCAATCATTTTGAGCCTGTTTTCCTTCAGTGGTGCTTGTTTCACCATAGAATCAAGGACATAAGAAGCCAAAGCTGGATAAATCTGTTTGAGAAACACCTCCCTAAGAATATGATCGATTTTGTTATTCAGATATAGATTATGTTTAAAACTGCTAGGTCAAATGGTGCGAAAAGTTAGATTCTATCTGCTAATTTTGTTTGCTGCCATTTTATTCTTCCAGAAGTCCTGCACTGATTGGATGCTTCATTGTAGATAGAGAATATTTCCAGGAGATTGGCTTGCTGGATGAAGGCATGGAAGTATATGGAGGAGAGAATGTGGAGCTTGGAATCAGGGTAAGGAGCATAACCAGCCAACACTGGTGGCTTGCATTTAAGATACAGCTTACTTTTTATTGTGGGGGGAGAAAAACAATGAAAAATGTGTGGATTATAGCATGCAAAGGAGAGCCACAGCTCTGTAGTAGTATAAACTGTTGTATTTGAGGGGAATGGGGAGGAAGAGCAAAAGCTCTCATATCTTTTTAAAGAACTTACCTGGGACAAGGATAGAAATACAGGATTTGATGGTAAGAATGCTAGAATTCTGCAGAGATGACACCTTAAAACTCCTGCTTACCTGTGATTCCTGACTTGGTAGGGAGGTCAAAGTGTAATGGGAAATGCCTTTCTAGATTACTTTGTTTATTTGAATTAAGAAAATCACTGAGGAGCTAACTGGAATATATAGGCATTTATGCAGCCATCTCTCTGGAGGGGAATTAAGATATTCATAAAGTTCATCAGTGCACATATTTTCTTCTTTCATCATGTACTCTTCATCTGTTTACTATATGCAATATTGTGTGTGATTTGTGTACTTCTTTCTATAACGCTTCACAGCTCAATGGCATTCTGAAAATATACTGCTGCTCTGTTTGAGAATCTTTCAGGTTTTTGATAAAAGAGAAATTCGCAGTTAGATAGGTGGTAATGAAAAATGGAGAGATGTGTTACAAAATTAAACTCTGAACTCTGCTATGAAATGTTAGTGGAAGCTTGTGTTTTGTGCTTTTTGGCTGCCAGAATAGAAGCACACTGTTATACAATAGCAAAAAAAATAAACATGGAATTCTCTACAAAAATACTTGTTTTTACTTCTGGGTTCCTGAAGGCCTTTTTCTCTCACCTGTCAGAGATAAAGTGTTATTGCAGCAAGACTGAAGGGCAGGTCCCCTCTCAGTTACATTAGAGTGCTGTTTTAAGAAAGCAAGAGACAGATGCAAGCCTGCTTCTTTTAATAACACCATTCACCTCGCTGTAATGGCCAGAGAGCCCCTTTCTGTTCCTGAAACCTGATTTTGCAGCTCAGTGTTGGGATCAGTTGAAAATTAGTGTCACTTTGATTTTTCTTTTCTTTTTTCAACTGACAAAACTATTGTCTCCTTGTGAGTGCGAGTTTTATCTCGTTTTGCATCATGATATATATGCTGTCCAGTCCACTCTACTTAGCCTTGCAGAAGTTGATTGGGAAGAGTGCTTTGATAGACAAGAGCAGAGAGACACAAATCTCTGCATAATTGAAACTTTGGAGGAGACTGGATCACTTGAATGAGGACCAACACTGCTCTGATTTCCGTATGGCTTTTTGTCTGTCTCCAGGGAAGCAGTGCCTGACCTACATAAAATAGTTTCATCTGTAACAGATTGTAGTGTGTAAGGTAGCATAATGTATGCTGCCTCATCTAACTTTATCCTGACTTGGATCTGTGTTCCTGGCTACATCAAAACAAATTACTGAGCTGTAATGAACAGATTTTTCAGCAGTTTATTACCAGCCCTTCTCACAGTTCTCAATATATCCCAGATAATACCACGATGAATATAAATGTACAGTACAATATTAGAGCTTCTAGGAAGCACAGTGTATTTTTTACAGATGTTAAGCTTGAAAAGAAAGCTCCCTCCCTCAGCCACACATCTAGGGCCATACACTATGTCTTGGCAAAATACAGGTGGCCACTTCAAATGTGCTCTTATATTATTCTGGGCAAGCCAGGTCATTGAGGTGCATCCTAAGCACTTGTCCCTAGAGGTGCAGCTCCCAGGGTCTGCCTTTCATTTCCTTTAGGTAGGGCTACATTGAAAGCTGTAGTCAGCAGGTGATTTTAGGCCAGATGATCTGTCTCTGCTGCTGAACTACATTTTTGTCTCTGCAGCACCCAATAGTCATCTCGAGATTACTTGTGTTGCTTTCAACTGGAAGGTTTGCGATGAATCACTTAATAAAGACAGTAATTGTTCTTCAAAAACTACATTATAATTACAGTATCAGTGCAATAAGTAATGTTTTTATTTCAAAATTATGCTCTCCAATCTGTGTCTACAGATTGCTCACTGTGCTTCATCTTTCATTGCAATTTCCCTTTTTTAAGAAGCACCTAGCTTCATCTAGTATTCTGCTGTGTGATATGCATTATCATGTTGGAGTGAAGAAGCAGATACTGTGTACTCAAACTGGCCTGTATCCAGGCTAGCCAAGAAGTAGGATGTTGTGTATCACATTCTTTGATATTATGGAGTTGATATCTAGTGAAACTACTTTTTTTTTTCATGGATTTTAAGCAAATCTCACACACCCTGTTCCCTTTCTTTGCAGTATTTATGCACTGGAAGTCAGTTCTCTCATTGGAAAATTTTATGCGTAAGCACATAAGAGCAACCATCTAAAGGAACAGGAGAGGTTACTTTCAACTATAGAAATAGCAGCAAGAGTTGGGATCATTTGAGCTGCCTGTTTATCTTAAACATGTTGAGACATGGTCTCATGTCCTTATATTACTAGTTTTGTTCCAGAGGATGTAAAACCACTGTGAGCCAAACTCATACGCAGACCAGCTTAGGCATCATGTGATGACAGGTCTGGGTAAATGGCTGTGTCTGTGCCTATGCACAGACCCAAAGCCGTATTCTCCATGTGCTGTGTTAGCAGCTGCATCTTCGGTGATGTGAGATAAAATTTAATCTCCCAGCTGACATGCTTCTGAGAAGCAAAGTCTACTTATTTAGGATTTCTTTTCACTATAAAGGAGAAACCATTACTGTGTCTTCTAAAACATTGAAATGGTTTCTTTTCAGCTCAACTGGTGGGGTTTTCACTGTGCAGGGATAGGAATTTTGATCCGGACAAAATGGAGACTCATCCCAGTACCCTTTCCCAGGAGGTATTCTTGTCATCTCATCATCTGCACAGATACCTAGTTATTTGTGTTACGTGAGTGCAAGAGAATTCCCAACTATTGGAGACTGTATCTGAAGCATCCATTGTTGGTAAACCATAACAAGGCACAGTAAACAACTCTTTGATGGAAGGATTATTCTCTTGACTGTGATGACTTAGTTTCTCTACTCAGCTCTGTTTGTTTCTAATCTGGTGTATTATTTTAACTTCTAAGATTTTTACCCTTGTCTGTGGCTTTGTAGTAACATTTGTAAAATATTAAAAATATATTATTAAATAAATATTAATAGAGTTCTGTTGCCTTGAGCTAGAAGCTGACAGATGGAGTTGAAAATATGAATGCATTTTGAATCTTACAAGCAATGCTGTATTTCCTCCTCAAGCAAATACTTTATTGCAAAGCTATTTATTTGTTCCATAAGAAAATAAAGGCAGGCTGGTTGGTGCAAGAGTTGACAGTATCCTTTTTGAGCAGCTCAGTTACTTTATCTGGGATTTTTGAAAGATTCGTTTACTGTGCCCCAGAATCATATTCTTAAATTCTTGTTAGGATGAGGAATGCTTCTTTTTGGTTTATGTTCAATCATTCCCAATTGAATGGACTTAAGTGTGCTTTTAAGTTACCAGATTGCATTTGGAGGGCAGACTGGAGTACCACTGCTTATCCAAGAGACCCAATAGGAACCGTGTTGGTACTGCATTATAGTGGAAACAAAATGTAAGGCTGGCATTTCTCACCGTTATTTAGGCTCTGCTTCTGAGTTGTGCTTGCACAAATAGTACTTGTAGTTATGGAAGCCCCTACAAATCCATTGCAATCAATTAGATGCAATTAGATTGTGCATTAGATGGTTCAAGTCTAGTTTTCAGTAGGCTTCTTAAAGGCCTGTTCCAATTCCTACTGAAGTCATCAGAAGAGTTTCTATCAAGAGCAAGCCTGTAGCAATAATTTTGTCTTTTAAAGCAGCCTACATGTTTGCTAAAGTTTCCAAGTATCTGTTACAACACAGTTGTTTGTACCACTTTTAGAGATGCCTAAACAAATATTTAGAGATTTGCCTCAGGTCACAGACTAAGTCATCATCAGAGTCAAGGGAATGTAAGCCTGGGCTTTGACTTAGAGTAATTATGTATGTTGCAAAGACCCTGTGCTTGCAGATAAATTTGTGTTCACAGGGATATAATGGCCCCATTAAATGAATGAGAGGAATTTTTGTTAGAAGGTAATAGCTCTTTGAGGGAAAAGGAATGGATCTTGCTCTCACTAAATGATATATTAAGACTTTACATCAGCTGACCCAGGAGGAAAATTGCATTTACAGTTCAGATTGAGTATGACACACTAGTTTTATACAGCAGATTGCCATTGTGAAATTAGTTATATTGGCAATAAAATTGCATTATAATAAATAGATCTGCTTGATTTCTTGTTAGTCTGGTAGTTTGCCTATAGAACTTACCTGAAGCTGATGCTGATGCTTTTTCTGTTTGTGGAGAGCAAGAGGAATGCAGTTTATGAACAGAGGTGCAGAGATGAGTTATTTGACCAGAAAATAGTCCCGGTGTTCTCTGGGGTATTGTCCGTGCAGTAGGGTCCCTCTGTTGCAGAGCAAGCAGATGTGAAGTCTGTTATGACTCTCTCTGATCTATTTTTTCTCAAATTTCAGAGGTGACTTCTTTTGTTTGCTTATTTGTTTGTTTCGGGGTGGGTTTTTTTGGGGGTATGGGTTTTCTTTTGAAGGTGTATTTGGCTCTATCTTTTTTTTCTTTTCCTGTTTTAACCTACCCCCACCTCAACCTCTGGGACCATGATTCTTCACTGCTTGCTAGTTAGCCTCGTCTTTCTCATATGGTGCATAGAAGCCTATTGCTGGCTTACATGTCCAGTCATTTCAAATCCAGAGTGTTTGTGTATCTCAGTTGTTTATCTTTCTTATAATATGCCCTTGCAAGAGCGTTCTTTTTGATAATCATGAGCAAGTGCAGATATTTACATTTTCCTCCAGATCTCCGTATTTATCTGAAAACATTTTAGACCTTTTCCTCTTTCTCTAGGAGTTTCCAGCAATTTTCCCTGCCAGTGTTTCTAATGCAGGCCATGAATTATAGGAAATCG